GAGCGTTCTGGGATCAGGATACTCGTCCGCGGAGCGGCGATTGGCGAAAAGGCTGGGACGCTAGCAACCTCTCCGGACGTGCAGGAGCTGCGAACCCTGGGACGGACACATGGCCCCGCCCCCTATTCCCCCCTGCAAGGCGTGTCCCATGCCCTCTCTGCCACCATCCGCCTGGTCCCCGTGCCCGTCTTTTTTCATCTTGCTGAAGCAGGGAGCTCTGCGTGTTGGCAGCGCGACTGCTCTCACCTTCTCGGCTTCTTATCTGCCTTGCCTCACCCTTTCTGAACCCTTCAAAAGTTGCACTCGGGCAAGTGGGTGGAGTTGATGCGCGAAAGGAAGAGGGGGGACGCTTAGGTGAGCAGGCACCTGCCCTGCCACCAATCCAGCTTCAATGCTGGGCCTCGTGAAGCGGAAAGCATTAGTAAACGCGGGTTTGGGGATCCGGGAAAAGGTAAATTGGATTACTGGACTCAGTAACATCCTTCCTCTCAGGCTCGTGCTGAAAGGGCCATTTATGCTTTGCTTGGTTGAGTCTGTGGCGACTTTATTCTGACTAATCTGTGTTTGCCAGCAGCATATCCGTGCCAAGTTGGCGTCTGGGCCAGGAAGCAAGTTTGCCCAAGGCCTGCTGGAACAATTTTACCATGGAGCCTCAGACCTGAGAGACCAAATGCCTTTAAGTGTCTGATGGTAGACTGTGAGATTCATGGGTACTAGGAAAGCCTAATAGTGTTTGCTTTTCCTCGGAGTATGGTGGGTATTGTATTCAATCAATAAGACATGAACTGTTTATGTTACAACTTTCAGAAAAGCAAAAATTTTGTCGGGCATGAATTCCAGAAGCTAGGATGACGCCACTGCGCACAAACGTTATATGTTTAAACATTAGAAATAAAAAAAAAAAAAAAAATGCTAAATCAGGCCATTCTTTCCTTGCTCCCAACCGAGATTCAGAAAAAGGCTGGGACTTTCTGCCCTTAGACAAGAAAACGGAAATTGTAGTTTACTGTATATGTTATTACATAATGATAAATTTATAAACCTAATATATACTGCTGTTCCTAGTTTATTAATGTGTGCATGTCTAATAAGTGCAGGGTCCAAGGTCCATATGTTCAAAAATGTTCACCAGTGGATAGATTTTCAAATACCGATTTCAAAAAATATAACGCCCTTTCCTTCTTTGCAGATTAGAAATCTGAAAAACACAAAATATTTTCCTAAGCTTTGTACTTGAACTAACATTACCATACTGTATATTTATTTCTTATTTAAATTGCCATAGAAAATCCTAAAGTAAACGTTAAATATAACATAGATATGAAGCAACAGAAGAGAACTTAAGTATTTACTTTAAAAGCTCTATTTTCTTAAGTGTCAAGCTGCAGTTGCAAGCTATTGTTTTGATAATGCATATGTAAATTATTGGTAAAACTTTATCATTACAAATTAAAGCAATAACTTTAATTTTCTTCTCTTTTATTAAAACCTTCCTAAAGTTTGTGTCACATCCTTGTGCTTAATAAAATCGTATAAACTGATCATCGTGTAAGATTTTTATCAGACTTGTGGATAGAAAAGGGTGTATATTATGGGTGGATATGTCCATGTTTATTCTATCTGTGATCTATTATGTTACCCGTTTTGATATAATGAGTATTAAATTTCTCACAGTTCTGCACAGAAAGGCTGTTCCATAACTTAAAACAAGTTTAGTTAATAATTGTATAAAGAGTTGAATTACGTTTGTGGACTTTGAAATTATAAAAACAGGAAATCAGTGATGTTCTCTCTCTCTCTTTTTTTTTTTTTTTTTTCCCAAACACGCCAACACTTGACATTTAACTTTATTGACTGAATGGTTGGATAAAGTGAGACTGAATGGTTGGATAAAGTGAATAATGAGGTCATTTGTTACTTCAAGGAAGGATGCATATTTTTCATATGTAATCCATCCTCTGAGTTCCTATCTACATTAACACAAGAGTCTCGCTGTTATCTTTACTTTACAGAATGTTGAATTGGACAGCATATCTGTAATAAGGAAGTTTCAGTCAATGTGGAGAATGATATTAAAATTCCCCTGTTATTTCTGGAGACCATATGTATCAGTATATTCAGTTGTTAATTTTTTTTTTTTGATGGCTGGCTGGTACTGTGAACCAAATCCTTGACCTTGGTGTTATAAGGTCATGCTGTAACCAACTGATCTAACTGACCAGGCCTTCAATTTTTAATTTTTAAAAAATTCTTGTTATAATTCTTCAGCCAGTTGAGCCCATATGATTTTATTGGGAAATATCAATAACCATATGACAGTTACTAACTTAGCCTGGTAATTAACCATTAACTCTGGAAGCAAACTACCTTGAATTGAACTTCAGCCTCTCCATTTGTCAGCTGTGTGACCTTTGACATGTTATCTACTTCTCTGTGCCTTGATTTCTTTACCTGTATATGAATTCAGTAATAATATCTATTTCATAAAGTTATTGTGAAAATTATAGTATGAACATGTTAATGACACAAGACACAGCATCTGGCACCTAGTTAGTGCTTAATAAATGTTAATTGTTTGCATTATCTATCTGCAAGTCTAACTGGTAACTAGAGAGTTAATTAATCAGCTGTGTCAGTTTTGTTGCAGTGTTATATTTATTGACAGGTTTAATGAGGGATTTTCCTATTATTGGAGGCAGCACAACATAAGAGAAGATGTCCTGTTTGTAGCTCCTTTGCTACCTTTCTTGATTATAGGGCTTATTTTTCATTCATAGTGTTCTAAGAAGGTCAAGTTCTTCTGATGCTCTTCCTTTTATTATATTGTGACCTAATATTTCTTAAAAAACAGTTCTTAGACAATTGAGGACCTGTAGGTATAAATGCTGCTCAACAGTCCAGACACAAATATGACAGTGGTACAATCCTCTGCCTCTCAAGGAACTCAGTGTTGTGGAAAAGAGGAAGTAAATTATACATATAATCATAGAAGTATGACAGAAGCACTAAAGTGATACAGAGGAAGTAAGATAACTGCATGTGAGAAAATTTAGGAAGACCAGAAAAAATTGACACTTGAACTATGTTTTGAAGGATGAATAAAAGTTCAGTAAGTCAACAAGAGAAAAGTACAATTCAATTAGAGGAAATAATTCAGTTATAATTCCCTCTCTAATTAAATTCATCCATTGTTGTTCATAGTCATCTTAATATATTTAATTCATTGACTGGAGCATTCTCTGATAAAATTACCTACATTGATGCTTTTTCCCATTTTCAAGTAGAAATAACAAAGAATTACTTGCTGACAAAATTTAATACATGAAAGAAAGAGTAAACCATGAGATTACTAGATACATATATTACATGTAACATTATTTTAAGGGAAGAAGAATGCAGAGATGGGAATAGGTTTTAAATGAAAACCTCTTGAAAAAAAAACAATAGAGAAGAAAGAGTGTGCTCTAAAATCTATGAGAGTTTTAGATATTTTATAGTAAATGCAACATGGTTTTAAAAAGTTTTTTCTATTCAGATATTAAAACACTTGCAAGAATATAAGTGCATAACATCATGATTAATGACTAATATAAAGCTAATACGTGTACAAATTTTCCTTTAAAACTTTCAGAAATGGCTCCTTCTAAAATCAATTATGAATGGTACAGTTTTATATCATTTGACCCTGTAATGTAGGCCATGTAATGTACATTTGAATGTATTGTTATGGGGCACCTAACAACTCAGAAAATATCACTGACTTCGCTAACCAATTCAAGCTCTTCAAATGCGATTATCTCTTTTGGAGATCTGAGGAACAGAGAGACTCTGAATATACACAAAGATTCATTAGGCCTAATTTATGCTACTCTCCATTATAATAAAAATCATGGCTTCTACAATGAGTCCTCAATACTATGTTCCATGTACAATGCTAAATAGTTACTAATAGTGATCTCATTTAATTCTGGTAAAAATCCTGGAGATAGGTAATATTATTATACTTCTTTAAGGTAGAGTAGCAGACAGTTGAGGAAAAATACTTATCCAAGGTCACAGTTGGAAAGTAGCAAAACTGATAACTTAATTGACGTGCATTTGAGTCCTTGATCATGCCCTGAACTAATAAGTTTATTAAGACAGAATCTTGTAGTGCAGTGTAAATCTCGGTCAGAGGACAGGTTGAAGTATATAAATCTATAACCATATGAGGAACCCTCCAAGCTCAAAAAGCACATAAACTCAGTCTGCCTTTCTGTTTATCCTCTTTTACCCCACAGCAACTGCTTTAGAAATAAGTCACTTTTTTGCATGGTAAAAAGATATCCCATCATAATAGGGCTTTAATTTCCTATACATTCAATTTCACTATTTTGATATTATTTTATGTTTTAATTCTTGTTCCCTGCAAACTCTGGCTTTCCAAATTTATAAAAACATTAAATGCCATAGTAGACAGAATGAAGATCAGGACAAAGTTTGTATGATAAAAATAGATACACCATCATATCCCTTTTCTTTATTGCTCTTTCCTTCTTTTTCCTTTTTCATCATCTCTTACTTTCTTTGAAACATCAGTATCTTGCTTTCAGTTTCAACTATACACTTGATAGAGTTTGGATATGACGTCCCCCAGAAAGCTCATGTCAAAATCTGATCCCCAA